GTCTAACATCACTTATATATATAAAAAAATATATAAAATGGAGTCAAAATCAAAGACCTTTTGCTTGGTATAATCCAGAGTGGGGGGATTGGTTGGTTGGTGTGACACTGACTTTCCACTTGGTTGGTTTACGATTTGGTCTTATCCACACTCTCCACCACCATCAAAGACTAAACCCTAATCCTCTGTGATACTTTATATTCGGTTACGTGGTGTGATGTAAATGGCTAATTTAATAACGTCATGCACATTATAAAGTGCCACGGTCTTAATAAGGAAAAAAAGCAAAAGACCACAGATCGAAAAGTGACCGTTGGTTCCCACCCGAGTAACAGATGTCGTTAGCTTCACTTTTGGCATTAAACAGTCCTACCGTGCACGCGACACAGGCGATCAAAAATTAAGGGTTCACGTTAATTATCAAGAGTTATTTCTGTATTATGTTAATTATTATCATGTGACGGACAAAATATGAGAATTACAATATTTGATAATCGAGGTGCCATATCTATCTCTCAATTATTTGAATTGAATAATTTACCACCTTAATAAGGGAATTGGAGCAATAACCATTGAACCAAAATTCAAGAATTGTTTCTGGAAAATGAAAAGGACAACGCATTGTGCTTTAATTATTTTTGCATGTTCTCTGTTCATACATTATGCCATATTTTTGATATTTATAGAAAAGGTTCTTCGCATATAATATAGTGACGTATAAAAGCTAGGGTACGTAAGAAATATGTTTGATGTTAAAAGCTAGCTAGGGTAAACACAAACCAACGATTATACTTGTTGCTTGTCGACACTTATGTGTGGCATGAGCGGTCCAATCTGTCCTTTAATTTGAGTGAAGTTGTTGGAGTTTAAGAGATGTAGCCAATGCCGTCCCAATCATTCGTCTCGGATCCCCAAATAATACATAAATTTTAGGGCTTCCAACTCTCAAATCTAAGTCATATATTTAAAAAGAAAATTAGTTGAATAATCCGTTTATGAATGTTTGGTAAAAAATTGATAGAAAATGAACAAAATTGTTATAGATTTCTTTTTTTTATTAACATTTTAATATTTTTTGTTGGTTTTAGATTTTATTTAAACATTTCTAAAAAAAATTATGGTTTATAAATACCGTAAAAAGGTTCCACTTTTTAACTCGCCTTGAGTGCATTGGCACTGCATGTAGCCAGTATTCGAATGACCAATAATTGTTTTCTTTACTTGGTCTGAAAGATATATACGTATAACGTAAATGTTTTCGTTAAAATATCGTAGGGTTTGATGTTCATGAGGAGGCAGATACGAATAAAAGATGTGAGTAAAAAAAATGCCTTTGGGATCGGGAATAAAAATAATATCTTTATTGGATGTGGATGATCAATGAGAATGACGCAAAAGAAGCATAAAAGGTGGTGTTTTGGGCCCCTAATCACTTATGCTTTTCCTCTTTATCCTTATGACATTTACCTAATCTTTTATAAAGTTCAGTCATTGTCTACCACTCAATACCTTTTTACTTCCTTCTATAATTAAGCTGAATTTTCTTCGTTAATCCCAATTTCTATTTGGGATCACAAACCAATTATTTCAAGGGATGTTTGAATAATTTAATTATCGTCTTCAAAAACTTGTTACATATCGAAAGAGGTTGTAGGCTTAAAGTTTTTTTAAAAAAAATCATAGAGAATCGAGAATATATGTTACGAAAGAAGAATATTTGGGGAAAAATATATAAATTATGGATTCGATGAAAAAGCAGTGAATACAACTTGATGGGAATGAAAAGAAGAACAAAGAATCAAATAATTGCATTAATATAGTAGTTTTTTTTTGTCCATCAAAATTATCAATTGTGTACTCCAAATTTGTGGTTGAATTTCTGCCGCTATAAATCGAAACTTTTGAGTTTTTGATATGCAGAAAATTTATCAAACAATATTCTAAAGTTTTTGAAGTGGAGGAGAATCTACGAGAGCACCACATATTTCGTTAAGACACGGTAGAGAAAAAATAAAATCAGACAATATATTTAAGGGCCCACACAAGCAATATACCACCAAAACAGTCACTCTCTCTGAAATCTGAATAGTGTGTGTACATATCCAAGAGAAATATTTGAGGATTAAAGGTAACAAAACCAAATATATTATTCTTTAATAAACTACTTTTAAGCTAAAGAGACTAATAAGATGTTTTTGATTATACTTTTCTCATAAATATCATTTCCAGAAAAAAATTCACGCCTCATTCG